GACTTTCCTTTGGCTGCCTCTGCCTTCTTGTCTCCCCACCCCTCATTGTGAGACCCACACCAGCATCTGGGGAAGAAGAGGTGGCCTTTGAGGGCATGGACTTTGACGGCAATGTTCTCTGTGCTTGGTTGCAGCAAAAGCTGGATGAGGAGTACCAGAAGAAGTTGGAGAAGAACAAGCTGGCTGCTGAGGAACAGACAGCGAAGCGCAGGAGAAAGCGGTAAAGGCAAACTCTGCTTGGGGGCTGGTTCAGAAACCACAGACGCTGTCTCCTTGCGAGTGGGAGATCAGGGCGTCTCTTACCTGGTAGTTCACCTGATGCATTTGGGGGCCTAATCCAGCCTCACAGGCTTTCTCACCAGGCCCTACGGAGATGCTTTCTCACATACTTTGATTTGGATTCCTGCCAGCGGTTGGACTGGACGCCCATCTAAGCCCCTTCCAACTCCACGATTCCATGAAGATTCCCACTTCTTCTTGTCTCTCAGCCAGGAACATGCCTTGGCTGGCTGGTGAATTGCCTTTTGATTAAACTGGGAAAGGGGGGGCGATTTTCCATAGCTCCCAGTTTTACCGTGACTGCGAGCTCAAGGGGGCTTGCAGGTTTCAGGAAGGCCTGTTCCTCTCACAACTGAAGCATTGCCCACATCAATTTGACCCTTTATTTTTAAATATATTACAGGTGTTTTTTTTTATAAAAAGAAATCTTAAGAACATGCCACAACAGCTCCAATCACATTCAAGTCATAGGCAATTGCAGTAGAATCTTAATGTTGGTTCTTGATACTGCCTTGAAAGGGTGTAACCAAAGGTGATATTCCTGTCCCTTCTTCATGCTCAACCCTTTTGGGGTCCTTCCCTTAGTTTTCTCTCTATAAGAGGGGCATGAATTGGGTTGGCAGTTAGAAGGGAATCAGCCACTGGTTGGCCTGCAGGCTATGACACAGGGGCCCCTGGAGCGAAGATCAGGAGCTAACCCTCCGTGTCTGTAGCTTGCTGTCTGGTGTGAATGATTCAGAGAGAAGGAGTGTGCCCATCTGGGGGGTTTGAAGCCTCTGATGCCGGCGAGCAGTTTTTCTGGCCCATTGGTCTAATCCATTGTTAGGGGAGTTTCCCGTCCTGTCTGGCAGAACCTTTCCTTGCCTTGCTGTCCAAGCAGCCAACAAAGAGAAACAACTGTCCGAAGGATTTGCACAAAACAGGAACTTTGGTTGGCTCATCGGGGAGGCTTTGGCCTGAGAAGGCAGGCAGAGAATTCTCATTCAGAAGGGAATGCATCGGATTCCAGAGCGTTAAATGGGAGGGTGGGACAGCTGCAGGATTTGGTCGCCCTTTTCCTCTCTCAACATCTGTGCCAGAAGCTCAGGCAGGAGGACATTAGCTGGCATGTCGGGCTTCATTCCTCTTTTGTTTCCTTGACAGCCAGAAGCTGAAAGAGAAGAAATTGCTGGCAAAGAAGGGGAAACTGGAACAAAAGAGTGAGCAGGCAGGTAATGTGAAAAACACAAAGGTCTCTTTGAGCTGAGCGTACCAGCAAACCCTCCTCCTTTTCTTAAGCCTCTTGTGGACTTGTGGCAGAGTTGGGCTAAATAAATAAAGTAATAACATTTATTTGTTTGCTTTTTTAATTATACCACCCCCTTAGGGTGAGTCTGAAAATGCAGCCAATTGACCCTCCACCTGCCCTTGAAATCTCACATCATAAAGATGATGGTGTCTCTTTTTTTAAATCCCTGCAGCCTGATACATGGGGATAGTCTGTGTCTGAATATGGAGGCTCTCTGTGACTTTTTGTGGCTAATGGTCTTGTTTCAGTTAATATCTGTGATCTTCACTAGTGCCGCCCAGCTCACCGCCATGATCAGCCGTCACTCTGTCTTTTGTACCCTCTTTCATTCTTTTTTTTTTTTTTTGGCAGCTGCAGACCCTGACCATTCTCCAAAGAGGCAGACCAGTGACGAGGAAGATTCTTCTGAGGAAGAGGAGGGGAAAGACGATGCTGAAGAGGCCAGTTTTGTGATGAGGAGATGACGTGGCTGGCCGAGGGCTTTCTATCCTGTCACCTGGCATTTCAGCAGCCTGAGAAGCTGCCTCTCTTGTGGGTTTTGGACTTTCGGCATGGCAGACGTATGGCTGGGGGGAGACATCTCTTCCGCAGCGAGTGTGGATTCCAGGACCAAGCCAAAGAGGAGCTGATCCCAACTGGCTTGTGCAACTGCTGTGCAGTCCGCTGCTAGAGGGTTTCCAGGAAAAGAAGCAGACTTCGACACCGCTGTTCCTTCCCGCATTGCTCCAAAACGATGCTAACGCTCCTGCCACCTGTGTCTTTGAGCAGATTCTTTTCCTTCTGTAAGAATTAAACAGGGCGATGGCTTTCGGTGAAAGACCCAGGACTTTAAGGCAAAGAACTGTTGGGCTTTTTTCTCTTAAGAGATGAGCAGAATTATTTAGAAGTAACTCTCAAGCTTGTCTTTAAACTTCTGCTTGCAGATGTAATTTCTTTTTCCAGCCCGAGGGAATCATCCTCTCTTTCCCTGCCCTGTTAGAAATCCGCTATCAACAGCGGTCCTAAAGGACTATGAATAAAACAGGCAGATATTTTCTCTTGCCCTTCAGTTGTGCACTGTCTTTCCATCCTTTAGTCTTCTCCTCCATCTGCTTCTCTGCCAAAGAGTAGAAGGTGTGAGAGATAAGTGAAACCTCCGTATTCAGAAGCGGTGTACCACTCAATATCAGCAGGTAGGACGGATAGATTGTAATGGACACATGGCCTGTTTCTCAAGTTCTAAGCACGCCCGCTTGAGTATTGCTGGAAACAGGAGTCTAAAGTAGATGGCCTCTAGATGTGGATCCTGTTATCAGAATAATAGTCTCTGTGTGAATATTCTTGGTTAACTCCACTGGGTGTGTATTCCATTAACCTCTTCTTTCCTGGTACTTTGATACGATTTCTGCGCATAGAAAAAATAAATGTGAAAAGAAACCGATCGGGATGGCCTACAAATCGTAGAGCACAGACAGTCTTGTCTTTTCCCAACCTGGGAAAAATTACAGTGAGAACAAGTGAAACTGCCAGAGGGGAATCAAGATGTTAAAATTTTAGAAAATGCAGTTAGCTGTTAAAATGATATCAAGGATCTAAGCGGTTCTTCTAACCTAGCTGTAGAATTAAGGACCGTATCTCTTCTGGAAGAAGGTCTTTGTAGGAAAAAAATGCTGATAGGGAAACTTGGAAGATATAGGGAGGGTTGGAGAGGGCAGTGGTTTAGGTCTCTAGCTGCGAAGTCAGAGGTTGGGAGTTCGATTCCCCCACGGTGCCTCCTAGGGGAAGAGCTTGCCTGGGTAGCCATGGGCAAGCTTCACAGTCCCAGGGCGCCCCCTAGAGGAAGGGAAAAGCAGTTCTGAGTATTCTCTAGGTGGAAAACCCTGGGAAGGGCAGCGGTAAGTCAGAATTGACTGGATGGCACGTGATGATTACACGGTGGGGTGGGCTATTGCCAGGGTGTCCTGTGTTTTGCAAGCTTTCAAGCTCTGCACGCCCTTAATGTGGCTAAACAGTAGAACACTGGGAAGTGTGTGTGAAGAAAACCTCTACAGAGCTCAAAAGATTGTGTACTATTTTTACTCATTTGTAGTACGACCTAATAATAAAAAGCATTGCACAACTGGGTATTCGGATTTAATGGATTAACTTTCGCAGCGCTGCCAATATTAAGATTATTTGTTACATGCCCTCAAATCCCTTCAGATTTACACTGAATCTATGAATGACTTCCAAAAAAAATGTTATTAATACTGTAAAGTCTTGTAAGCTACAGGCTGGGAGTCCTTTAGTGCCTCTATCCATTTCCCATTCCTTCTCCCTCTGTCCCTATTGCTTTTCATTTTATCTCTCATGCTTGTCTCTTCTGCTGCTGCTCTGGCTGACTCACCATCTGCCCTCAATGCCCTAGCATAAAAATAAAATATTTTTATCCTGTCTTTCTCCTTAAAACGACCCAAGGCGGGTCCCTTCTAATTAATTAGAAGACAGCAGTAACAGGCTATTGTTAAAGGAGAAACAAGAGGTGGGATTAAGTCTGCAGACTCTGCTGATGTTAGCAGTCCTGCTGAAAGAGAGAGGCTGAAATCAAATGGATTTAAATGGTGATTTAAATCACTTTTTAAATTTTAAAAAAGTTTTTGGAGAATTGAAAGCAAATGAATATAATTTTTAATTTTAAAAATCGGATATTTTTTGACTACTGGATTGAAAGCAAATTGATTTAAATCGTGGTTCAACTGATTTAAATCACGGTTCAAATTTTTTCAAGTCTGAAAAAAGGGGGTTTTGACGATTTTTAAACCAATCGGATTTCAAAAACCGAATAAACCCCAACCCTTGGCTTTTATCCTCCTGGAAAGAAGGAAGCGGAAGGGAGAGAAAGCAAGATTTCCCCCCCCCGGGGCGGGGGCGGAGCCACGGGCCTCGAGAGCCCTGCGCGCGGGGCGGGGCTCGCAGGTCACGCGACGCGGCCTCCCGGGGTTGCCTTGGCAGCGGAGGCGGGACCAGCCGCAGCAGCAACAGCAACCGTGGGGAGTCTCCCCGGGACCGGGCTGGAGGCGGAAGCGGCGGCCGGTCGGCGGCTCCCCCCCCTTGCCTCGGGAGGTAAGCAGGAGCCCCGCGGGAGGAGGAGGAGGAGGAGGAGGAGGAAGCCGAGAAGGGAGGGTCTTTACTTTAAAAAAATTTTAATTTAATTTAATTGCACCTTTACTTTATTGCATTTAATTTTATTGCACCTTCATTTTATTCTGTTGCACCTTCATTTATTTTATTCTACTGCACCTTTATTTTATTCTATTGCCTCTTTAGTTTACATTTCATTTGCGTCGTTGTTTGAAAGCGCTGAATATGCGAGTCGCGTATCTATGGGTATAGATCCAGATGCTGTATACAGTATTTAAATTCAGTTGTTTAATTTGAATGGCATGTTTGTCGGTGTTTTGTTGTTGTTGCTCTTTGCGCGATGTGGGGCCCAGGGTGACCGTTGGTCGGATGGGCAGTTTAGAAGTTTTTTAATAAAATAAGAATTGATGTTGATATACATATAGATATCACTGTACTCTTAAATACCCATTGACTTTCTTTCTTACCAACCAACCACCGTCTGTATTTAGATGCCGTATATAAATATTTTCCAGATTATTTCCCTCTGATTATGTCTGAGAAAGTGGATTTGATCCACGAAAGCTCACATTAAAATATAACAGTCTTTAAGGTGCTACTAGCTTTTTGTCTTTTTTATTTGTTCATTTATTATTGTTATGTTTTTACCTACGGTATATTGCTTGCACAGACTAACAGGGCTTAGCTCTTCTAAAACTATACAGTATTAATGTGGTTGGTTCTGGGAATTTAGATAGGTAGGTAGATGATTTTTTTCCCCAAGTATCCGACAGCCTTTTGGATAAGCCTGTTGTGCAATCCCGGGAGGGAAGGGGCGGATCAGTTCCAGCATACACTGAATGGAGTAATACTGTATATGGATCATCAGCCTTTTATTTAATTGCTGCTGGTTTTTCATATTTTTTTTTAAATGCTTGTTATTTAGTTCAGTTACTTCATTCAATGCCCTTGGATGATGATCCACTTTTTTGTTCTTGTTCGTGAACCGGGCAGAGTGACCCTTGGTGAGATGGGCAGTATAAAAATCAAATAAATAATAATAGAAGCAAGGGAGGGGTGGAATTATCTAGCAAGATGTTCTGGTTTCTGCTTTCTTCAAAACCACTGAAATATACATATATTACAGCTTTCGCTTGCTTCAGAATAACTGGAGGAGGCAGAGGCTGGAATGTTTTTCTGTGCTACTTTGCCTTTATCCTTGCTTTGTTAGGTTATTGTTCTCCTACAGGTCTCTCTCTTTCTCTCTCCATCCACACACACAAACACACACAGGAAATCTCAAAAGATCTTTCTCCTGTTAATGATACAGGCTTTGGGGTAACTGCCTGGGAGAGTGGCCTGATGATGGGGAGAAGCCACCTATGAACTTGTCCACAATCATTATAGTTTATAATGACCATCAGTTACTGTTTATATCTGGGGACATTAAAATAAATAAATAATCTAAAAAATAGGCTTTTTGATATACTCTTATGTGTGTATGTTTGTGCATGTATGGGTGTGTATGTACCATGTTTTCCCAAAAATAAGAACAGGGTCTGATATTAATTTTTGCTCCAAAAAAAGCATTAGGGCTTATTTTCAGGGGATGTTTTATTTTACCGTCATCCCGTCCTCTGCTTGCTGCACAAGGGTGGAGGGCGGGGTTTCACTTAACTAGGGCTTACGGTATTTTGGGGGTAGGGCTTATATTATGAGCATCCTGAAAATTCATACTAGGGCTTACAGAATTTTCAGGTTAGGTCTTAATTTCAGGGAAACATAGTATGCACGTGTGAATATATGTGAAAACGTGTACTTTTATGTGTAGTGCTGATACATATATCTATCTATAAAACAATAAATATAGAAGAATTTTTGTAGGCAGCTGGAAGCTCTGTCTTAGGTTCCAATCCTGCACAGCCATTCACCAGGAAGCGAGAAGCCCCTTTCGACTCAATCTGATGTACCTCTGAGCAGGTAACATTTATACTCATTTACATATACATCCTACCTTTTTTGAAAAGGCTTCCTTCCAAGTTGGCTTTACCAGTAAATTCTAAAAATACAGTAGTAAAATCACAAATATCAAAAGGTAGGTGATCCATTAGCAGGATCCTTCCTACAGGGCAGGGGGTCTCGGGTCTCCCCTTAACGGAAGAGGTGTTCAGACCTAATAGAGAACATGGTGATGTCTTCTGTCCATATCAAAAGGTAGGTGATCCATTAGCAGGGTCCTTCCTACAGGGCAGGGGGTCTTGGGTCTCCCCTTAACGGAGGAGGTGTTCAGACCTAATAGAGAACACGGTGATGTCTTCTGTCCAGTAGAAGGAAGGAGCTGATAACGGGAGGAAGGAAGGAAGGAAGGAAGGAAGGAAGGAAGGAAGGAAGGAAGGAAGGAAGGAAGGAAGGAAGGCATTTAACTCTGGTGTGCAGGAAGAGGTGGAATTTTAGTCTGTAATAAAAATAAAATGTTTTATTAATCAAAACAGCCTGATGCAGTTCAGCCAATAGAGTGCCCAGACACTGTCTTGTTGCTTCCTTTGGGAGCAGGGTCTCCGGCGATCTGAGATCATACGTTTTCCAGATTTCACTGTGTAGTGAATATACAGAAACACCCTGGCGTGTGTTATGCATTCTCTGCTGGATGGGCTGTGTGTGTGTCTCTCTCTCTCTGCTTGGTTTTCTTCTTCTCTTCCTGCCGTTTCACAGAACACAGGAAAATGGTTCTGTGGCTCAAGGAACTTACGGCTTTACCTTTCAAAGGGGAAGCCACCGAAGAAGAAGGGAAAAAAGGGGTGGGGGAAGGAAAGCGGGGCTAAGAAAAGGGGCTAAGCTTGCAAAGAGGATGCTAGCATCGTGGGAGTTGGAAGGGGCCTCAAAGGCCATCCAGTCCAACCCCCACCTCAGTGCAGGAATTCGATGAAAGCAGACCTAGGGCCTCAAAGGTCATCCAGTCCAACCCCCACCTCAATGCAGGAATTCGATGAAAGCAGACCTGACAGAGGGTGTCCAGTTTTCTGTTGAAGGCCTCACCACCTCCTGAGGTGTTGGAGTGCCCACCACCTCCCGAAGTCATGGATTCCCTGGAGTGCCCACCACCTCCCGAAGTCATGGGTTCCCTAACAGTTAAAAAGTTTTTCCTGATATTCAGCCTAAATCTGGCTTCCTGTAGCTTGAGCCCATTATGACGTTTCTTGCACTCTGAGATCTCCGAGATGATTGAGAATAGATCCTGCCCCTCCTCTATAAGGCTACTTTTCAAGTCTTTGAAGAGTGCTATCCTGTCTCCCCTCAGAGATAGTATAGTAGATTGAGAATAGATCCTGCCCCTCCTCTATAAGGCTACTTTTCAAGTCTTTGAATAGTGCTATCCTGGCTCCCCTCGGAGATAGTATAATAATAAAAAACCACAAGTCCCAGAATCCCCCAAGCATGGTGCTGCCGGGGCAGTTCTTGGAGCTGTGGGCCAAAAATGGTAAGGAAGTAATATTTATGTGATTGTTGTTCAGGTCTGTGATGTGCTTTACCTGTGTAGTTATGGGACGTCGGTTGCTTTGACTTAGGGTGGCCCTTGTGGTGATTTTGAGGTCTTTAAACGAGATGTTCAGGAAGGTATAATTTACCTTTGTCACCCCACCCATGACTTGTTTTCAAAATAGGATTTGAACTCGGATCTCCTTGGGTACGGTCCAACAGGCCATCTGTTAACACCACATGGGCGCCATTCTTAGGCTGCGTTGTGGTGTATCTTACTCAGGAACTAATGTATTGAGGGAAGAAATGTGTTTTCAGATAATGTTTTCTTCTCTTTTTGGGTACAAAAGCAATTTATAAAATGGGGTACAGTAGGGCCCCCGTGTCTGCTGGGGATTGATTCCAAGTCCCCCATGGATACTGAAAACAGTGGATAATAGCAAACACTACATTAACACTAGAGTTAATGAGGGAGATCTAGAAAGCTGTACACATAAATTTTTTAGACAGTCTATTCCGCCCTCTGTCTCGTCTTGTTTTTCCCACTGGCTCTTCTGAAGCCATTCTGTCCGCTGGGAAATAGGCCCTGATAAAACAGTGGAAGATACAGCTTTATATTAGATCTGAATATTGTCAGTTCTGATGCCTTTGGCGTGCATGATGCACTGCTGGACCATCGTTCCTTCCCAGCGCCGTGGGGTCTGACCTCTGTGTAAACCTGTGTAGGATTGCACTGTAAGAAAACGAAGATAGCGGGGGTTTTCCCCACGAGCTCAACGGAAACCAAGAAAAAGCAGGAGAGTTTGGCTACTCTGCAGGCTGCTATAAAACTAAGTCCCCGGGGGAGATTTCAGACTGAATAGGTTTCGGGCAGGTATTTAGGTGTTAGATTCCACCAAGCAGGGTCTGTCGGAATGAGGATGGAATTCTATGGCGCTCCATGAATATGTAAGATTCCCTGTCTTTTTTTAAAAAAATACCAACTGGCTTGATGAAGAATTCTGGGAAACCTGGATGCTTATACATTTTCTGCCATTTTAGTTGGTCCTAATAAGGGTATGAGTTGGTTTCTGGCTGCGGAACCAGAGGTTGGGAGTTTGATTCCCCCACTCGGCTTCCCGAGAAAAGAGCCTGCCCGGGTGGCCTTGGGCCAGCGGCACAGTCCTCCCAAGGCCCCCCTGGAAGGAAGGGAAGGGTCAACCACTTCTGAGTCCTCTCTACCTGGAAAACCCTGAAAAAGTTCACCTTAAGTCAGATTTCAGCCAATAGCACATGACTATCATTATTAATAAAGGTGTTGCCCACTTATGGAGGTTGTTTTTTTCTACTATAAAACTGGAACCTGGAAAACCCTGAAAAAGTTCACCATAAGTCAGATTTCAGCCGATAGCACATGACTATTATTATTAATAAAGGTGTTGCCCACCTATGGAGGTTGTTTTTTTCTACTGTAAAACTGGAGGCTCTTTGGGGACAGAGACCTGTCGGTTTCCTCCTGCCTCGTTCTGCAGGCTTTTAATATGCAAACAGCTCCCTTGGTCTCCTATGTTTCCTGAAAAAGTTCACCATAAGTCAGATTTCAGCCGATAGCACATGACTATTATTATTAATAAAGGTGTTGCCCACCTATGGAGGTTGTTTTTTTCTACTGTAAAACTGGAGGCTCTTTGGGGACAGAGACCTGTCGGTTTCCTCCTGCCTCGTTCTGCAGGCTTTTAATATGCAAACAGCTCCCTTGGTCTCCTATGTTTATAAGCGGCCCCCAGGTGCAAACTGGGCAGAAGCAGGGAATGGAATGGAGGAGCCCCTTGCCTTCCGGAGAGGTTCCTGTTTCAAGAGACCAGGGATCAGGTCTCCTGTTTTGAAAGGCAAGGCCGAGATTGTTTGATGGGTGGGTGGAGTCAGGAATGGTTCGGAGGAAGAGCGAGGGAATCTCGGTTGCGAGAGAAGCCGGCCAGCCGTTGTCGGTGGGATGGGAGCCCCGAGGTGTCCGGCTTGGAGGGGGTGGCGTTAAGAGTTTCCGATTTGTTGGGGCTCGGGTATTTCAGGGAAGGTGCTGTACGGAGAGAAGATTCCAGAGTGCCAGCGAGTTCCTGGAGCTGCATTTTTTGCTTTCCTCCCTCCCCTTTCTGTGCACATCTGGGAGTCCGAGGATCTCGCCAGAGAAATGAATCAGCAGAGGAGAAGGAAGAGGGGGGACCAGCTCACGCCAGGGTCGTGAACACCCGTTCCCCCAGATCTAAAGCTTTTCTCCCCTACCATTTATTTTTTTGCAGCAGAGATGACAAACCAGATCAAGCTCGGCATTGGCAGCTACCTGAACTCTCCGGGCGCTTCCCCTCTTCCCGGGGCTCCAGCTGACACCAACTGGTAGCTGGATCCGACCCCGGCAACGCCCACTGAAGCCACCACTGGGATTGAGCAACAGGCACGGGATTTAAAGCAAAGCCCACCCTCTTGACAACGGGTAAGGATTTGCTTTCGTCGTCTTGTGTGTGTTTTTTTTTAAAACCAAGGCAGAGTTTAAATACTAATAAACTGTCCTGTCTGGTTTTCTTTTCTGGGAAAACCGGTCAGCCAGTTCAAAGCGTGGTTTCATTTTGCAGAGATGACTGGCCGGGAGAAACGAGAGGTGGAAAGGTTCGGAGGGGGGCTTGTATTCCATGTGTTTGGACTTTGGATGATGGGGGGAGTCTTTGTGGGTAAGGTGCTGGGAGGGAGGGAGGCAGCCAGCTGCCCTTCGAATTTTGTTGTTCACAGAGGAAATCCCACCGAATCAAGGGATTGATTCAAGGGATTCAGTTAACCAGTTGCTTTCATTCAGTGGCTCTAACTCTGTTTGGAACTATATATCAGAATGGGTCCATTGATTTATACGAATGCTAGTGAATATAGTGAATATCTCTAGGTTTATCTGTATGAGAAAGGCATCCGTTCTATTCCCCATGCACTGTGCCTTCTCTCTCTTTCTCTCTCTCTTTCTCTCTTTTCCGGTTTGGGTTCAAACTGCCTCAAGGACCCCATCATCCCCCTTTGTGAGTCCACCCGGGCATTAAGATCATCAGGGGAGACCTTTCTCTCGATCCCTCCACCTTTACAGGCATGCCTGGTGGGGACATGGGAGAGGACCTTCTCTATCGCTGCTCCCAGAGACTCTGGAACTCCCTGCCACTGGAGGCCAGCCAGGCCCCATCTTTGCTGTCCTTCCGCAAGCAGGCAAAGACCTCTCTCTTCAGGCAAGCTTTCCCTCAGTGACTGGCTACCTGAGTGGGGTTTTTTAATGAATTGTTGTGTCTTACTGCTTTGAATGAGTTTTCATGTTGCTTTTGTTAACCGTTTGTTAGTGGGGTGTTTGTTCAATTTTTTAGTACAGTCGTGCCTCGCAAGATGAACGCCTTGTGGGACAAAAAACTCACAAGACGAATGGTTTTGTGATCGCTGTGGTGCCTCGCAAGATGGCTTCTTCTATGGCTATGCTTCACAAGATGAATGTTTTTCGCAAGACTGATGCCTCACTACCTCTGGGTAGTGTGGGCGGCATATAAATTGAATAAAATAAATAAATGAATAAATAAATTATTTTCGTCTTGCGAGGTTCCCATAGGAATGCATTGCATTCCTTTGGGAAACCGCTTTTCGCAAGACGAAAATTTCACAAGACAGTGCTACTCACGGAATGAATTACTTTTGTCCCTTTTCGCAAGACGAAAATTTCACAAGACAATGCTACTCACGGAATGAATTACTTTTGTCTTGGGAGGGACCACTGTATTTATATACTTACTATTTTTAGCTTCAAATATTGTCATTTAGTGATGTAAGCCACTTTGGGTCCTTCTTAAGGTGGGTTAAAAATATCTTAGATGCATAAATAAGCTTTTCACACTAGTTTACTCCCCCACACGAGGGTTCACGTAGTTAAGTACACGTTTCCACTTCCGTGTCACTGGAACTCTTTATTTAGACTTTTGGCAAGGTTGATCATCAGATCATTGCGAAAAGAACAGTATTTAAAAGAACAGTATTTTTAGCCTGTACTGCTTATAGGATTTTTGGGCACAATAACATCTCATCCCATGAGCCAGCTATTTTGAAATACTGATGACAAAAAGTGTTGTGGGGGTGGGTGGGGGGAAAATGTGGGCAAAGATGGACCACACAGGAATGCTTCACTTGGTAGTCAGAGGTGAAGGCTCTGCTCACTATGTAGCATGTTTATGGGAAATGCTTAACAGAAGAAACCAGCATTTGAGGCTCTGCTCACAACTGATTATTCGGGAATAATGATTTTGAGATGTAGGCCACCCAGTTGACTGAGTGGGTGGGTAGTCCATGTAGTTCCCATGCAAAATGTTGCATTTTTATTTCTTAACACTTTGGAGATGGTGTGGGTCAAATAAACATTTAAAAAACCCGCTCCAAGGCCTTTGCCAGGGGTCCGGTTTTCTCCAGGTCTGGTTGTGGCTGTTGCACAGCAGGACTTGTGCCGTTGAAGGAAACCCTTGGGGTTGCATGGGGAGGCAGAGCCGTTGAAAGAAACCCTTGAGGTTGCATGGGGAGGCAGAGCCCTCAGCTTGCCAGGCTTCCTGTTGTCTGAGACCAGTCCACAGAGAGGATGAGGGCAATAGCTGTTGGGTGCCACTGTACCCTCGGGCAAAGATCTGGTAGAACTTGTTGGTGGAGGTAGGAGGAGGGCTGCCGGGAGCCATGCGCCTCCTCTCGCTTACCTCTGGCAAAGAGCAGCTTCTTCGGAGGACGTTTCCTGGGTCTCTGGCTCTTGTGAAGGTGGGGATCCACTTAGGAAAACTGATCTCTGCCCCTGCCACTGGCAGGGATTCATTCTAGACCCAAAGGAGCACCTGATCCTTTAAAAAAAATCATTAGAGAGGTTTCTGGCTGTGATAATAATAACAACCTTAGAACGGGAGAGCTGGGAAGGGACCCTTTGGGATCATCCAGTCCAGCCCTTGTCAAGGAAGGCCCGGGGGGGGGGGGAATCAAACTCCTGGCCTCTGGCTCCACAGCCGGACACCTAAACCGCTGAGCTATCCAGCACTCTGGTTTGCCTGTGGTTGGGCCCAGCCGCGTGGCCTGCCCCAAACCACAGGCCCACCACTGGCGATGCAACCCACGCTGCTGGCATTGCCTGTATCCTGCACAGTTTTTGCCAAGTCTGGAGTAAAGGTTTGCAAAAGTTTGCTAAGTCTTATGAAGCTTGGAGGGACAACCCGGCTTGGCCTCCTTCTGTAGCCTGCTCTGGATTTCCGGTGGCCTGCCTGCTCACAGTCACCGGGGCCCGTAACTGGGGGAAAGCGCACATGTAAGCCATCCCAGGTTCCATGCCCAGTGTGGAACCGGCACAGACTTCTGCCAACAACTCTAAAGAGATGCTGATAACCAGTGTTGGAAAGAGATGGAGCCAAGAGCTTCTGATTCAGGATCCAGCAGCTTCCTATCTCTCACACACAGAGTGTGGCAACTGTGGTGCTTCTGCCAGTGAGGAAAGGGCTCTGCTTGGCAGCCCCCTCAGCAGAGTGCCAATGGTGGCCAGGAACCGACTGACGTGGGAGGTGTGGTTGACACATGGGCTGTGTAGTCCCTGGACAGCCACGCCGCTGCCCACGGTGGGATCCCAAGTGTTGCAAAAGGGGCAAGGCGCTTATGGCTTCGGTGTGGCATGGCCGTGGGCAAGCAGAGCTTACTCTGGTTGTGTTGCCCCCCCTCCACTTTCTGCCGCCTGAGACCCATACCTTATTGTACACCGGAAAAACCAACCTTGGATCTGTTTTTGGCGTTCTCTTCTATGTTAATATAATATAAGATATGTTAGCAGCTGTTTTCATCAGGGTTGGATCCGGACTTTATCACGTTTAGAGTTGTGGCTGTTCCGTGCTGTCAAATCGGAACTGACTTGGAGGGACCCTAATTGGCGATTCGCTAACTTTATTTTTTTTAATGTGATTTATTTTTCACTATGTTTTTGTTTTGTTGTACTGTATTACTTGTATAGATTTGATTGTTAACAGCCCTGAATAGTGCCGTGCACTACTGTAATTGGGTGGTATACAAATTCAGGCAGTCAATCAATCAACCAATCAATCAGTAATTAGGCTTTCAAGATAAGTGAGATAGTTAAGGAGTGGATTTACGAGTTCCACACCCCCAGTGAACTTTCCATGGCTGAGTAGGGAATCAAACCCAGGTCTCCTTGGTCCTAGCCTGTTCCTCTATCCACGCACCACACTGGGTATCTGTACACTTCGGATAGACCCATGGTAGTTAATTGTGATTGACTTCAGTGGGTCTGCTCGGAGGAAAGTGGGTGGTGATATTTCATTTGAAGAAGCTACTTTGTGCCTTCCTGTTTTGGAAAGTAAATATCGAACAAATGGGCTTGATGTGGAAGAAGCGCACACAAAAGCTTTCTCCATTATGGAGGGAAAACGGCACATGTGCTCTATCGTGGTATCGAATGCACATGGGCTGTCGTGGTAAGATCGTGGGAACCCAACGGGGCGGCTTTAGGATCTGGCCTCTTCCATGGGCTTTTGCTCACGTGACCCTCCCTCCGGAGATGTGGGTGGACGGTCCCATTGGACGCTTACACCAACCAAAGCTTCAGCCGCTCAAAATGGGCTGGCTTTAAAGGTTTTGTGTGGGTCTTGTGGGTTCCGCCAGGCTCGACTCCTTCCCACCCAGCTCCAAATTATGCCACGGTTTTGCCAGGAGTGGGAGAGGGTCTGGACGTGGCTGGCATCAGCTAACCTGGGTTGCCTGCATGGCGGTCCTGGTTTTTCTTCCAACCCCGGGCCTCTATTTTCCTGCAGGAATCACGGTTCGTAAAACGAGGGCTTTCTTCCCATACATTTCCTGGTGTGTAAGCTGGATATTGCCTCGAGGATCCCACACCGACTGGGCCGTGCCAACGCTCTCGCTCTCTCTCGCTCTACCTCTCTCTCTCTCTCTACCTCTTGGCCTCCTTTCGATCAGGACCTATGGCAAATGCAGGGAGACTCTCTCCGTTTCTGCCACTCTTGAATATCTGGGACGAATATTCGTGTCTTTAGAAGCGAGCACTGAATTTTAAAAGACTTGGCCTCACACAGTGGAGAATAGGCCAAAGAAGACAAGTGTGTGTTGGGAGGGAATCAAAGGTTTTGTGCCTGACTACTGAATTGCTAAGCGACGTGGGATTGTGTGCGTGTGTGTATGTGTGTGTGTGTTTCCCCCCAACCTTGAAGTAGAATGATAAGTAGGGAGAGGCTGGGAGAGTCTGCTCAGAGAAACAGGGAATTTCATGGAATCCTTCCCTTTCATGGATCCTTCCACCCCCACGTTCTGTCTTCAGAATCATTTACTCCAAGAGCCCCATCCATCATGGGCCCCTCTGTGCCTCTGCCCTCTCTGTAGCCCCCTTGGGATGAGAGAAGATGATGGAAGCGGAGCATGGTTAAAGAGCAATCAAAGGAAGAGGAGGTACGGGTTAGAAAGAGTGTGTTTGGGAATCGGGGAGGGAAGGGAATGTGGCTGGAAAAAGCATCTGGTTTTCTTTCTCGCTCTTTTTTTAATTCCTGGGGCCCCCAAGAGCAATTGGGACAAGGAAAGGTCAAAGCGTCAGGATAAGACAGAGACTTCTGGCCTGCGAAAAGGGAGGCGGAAATCAAATTTATTTATTTATTTTTAAGTGTGGTTTTTTTTTTGCCTGTGACCGCTAAATGGAGCCTCCATGTCCAGGAGCAGTATGGTAGATTTTTTGCCTGATTGGTCATGTCAACATTTCAATTTGAATCTCCAGGGGAGGTTGAACCTTGCCTGTTTTGGAATCTGAGAGAGATGATATTAACCGGGCTCACTGGGAATAATAGTGGCTTGGTGGGCGATGGCTCCCATTCTTAATGGCAACCAAGGTGTTTCCATTAGGGCTGGGGGCCCTTCAGCCCTGCGGGTACGGCTGCATCCTTCTTTCCATCAGGCGTCCCTGTGGGCCCCCAGCTCCTAAGTTATGAGGGTGTTTGAGTGTTATTACAAATTGTGTTACTGCTGTATGGCTCAAGGGTTGACGTCTCTGGAGATGCGGAACCAGAGGTTGGGAGTTTGATTCCCCCCCAGAGCCTCCTGACTGGGGCTGGACTGGATGATCCCACGGGGTCCTTTCTAACTCTGAAGTTCTAAGATTATTATTATTATCAATAATAATAATAAATTAGTAATTACTGGATCCAAAATTCATTGCATTTCCTCTAAATCATCACGTTTGCCTTCTGTTTCTTTTTGTTGTTGCCTCTGACTCATGGTGACCCTATGAATGAGCGATCTGCTAAATGTCCCATCATCCTCAACAGCCCTGCTCAGCTCTTGCAAACTCAAGTCTGTGGCTTCCTTTAAGGAGTCAGTCCACCTCGTATATGGCCTTCCTCTTTTCCTGCTGCCTTCGACTTTTCCCAGCATTATGGTCTTTTCCAGGGAATCCTGCCTTCTCGTGAGGTGCCCAAAGTAGGACAGCCTCAGCCTCAATATTGTGACCTCCAGAGATAATTCAGACTTGATTTGCTCTAGGACCCGCTTGTTTGTTTTCCCGATAATCCAGGGTGTTTGCAAAGCTCTCCTCCAGCACCACATTTCAAACGAATCATTTTTTCCCCCTTGGCAACAATACTTTTCTGTTTTCCCAACAAGTTAAGCGATTGAACACTGGCTGTCTTACCACTTTCCTCTACTGCTGCCTTGTTTACAAAATTTTGTCGCCTGAAAATTGTGTTTAGAGAGACATTCTCTCTCGTGCTGCCTCTTACGATGTGGAACTTTTTAAAATATTTGCAACCTAATTTTAAGTGTGGCTAGAACTTCCCTCTTTACTGTGACAATATTGTATTGTTTTATTTTTAACCTGATAGGTCATTTGTAAGTTTCCATTGATACTGGTGTTTAAAATACACACAGAGAGACATTATTTATACGGTCTAGAATCCCATTAATTACACCTAGTGGCACAGATCCATTGGTAGACATTTCAGTGGCAAATTGCCACAAGTTAAGATAGGGGCCAAGGCATTTCCTGTTGCGCCCCAGTTGTGCAACACTGTGTGTATGAGTGCAAAAACTGATACTGAATTTTTCACTTGCCCCTGAAAGCTACACTGACTGTGTTACACTGGCCTAAATGTTCAGCTGGATTCCCGTCATTCGTTGCCCTGTTATGTTTTTTGCTGGCTGGCGAGCTCAATGGTTTAGATCTCTGCATGCGGAAACCAGAAGTTGGGAGTTCGATTCCCGCACTGTGTGTCCCGGGAAAACAGCCAGATTGGGTGGCCTTCGGTCAGGGAATGGTGAACCACTTCTGAGTATTCGCTATCTGGAAAACCTTCAAAAGGGGCAACATAAGTCAGACTTGGCATGATGGCATATGACAATGATGATAATACTTTTAGTTTTTGTTTTGTTTGAGTGTCACCTAGAAGGCTAAGTTGACAGGGAGTTAGTAAATCAGTGAGGGGGGGGGAATCTGTTCCTGTGCTTTTCTGTTTCCCAAATTAAATCACTCATATCCCTCCTCAACTCTTCTCTGTGTGTGATTTTTCTTTCTTTGTGCTTTAACCACATTTCTCCTTGTGGGCTGCTTGCATTGGCCAGTGTGGGAGGAGAGAAAGCATTTTTGTGGGCTTTTAACATTTTCTCCTAGTATGTCTTTTTGTTTTGCCCCCCCCCTCCCCCTCCTTCAGATTAGCTGTAAAAGGAGGAGAAACTATGGCAGATCTCAGAGGGTGGTGCCGAGGGGCCCAATCCTGAGGCCTAGAATGGCAGGAAAGGGGCTCTGGAGCTGGTGGGTTGAATCCGGTTGGTAGACATCCCAAAGTTGTATATACTCATTGAATCAATGGGATTTACAGAAACTTTGCCGACTCATCCATTAACTCAGTGGGTTTACTCTGTTTGAGTGTGTTCAGAGTTAGAGCATTTTAAGAAGCAGCTTTACCGGCAGCTTCCCCTTTCCAGGGAATTTCTGTTGCCGAGCAGGGATTTGAACTCAGGTTTCCGGTGTCCCGGTCTGTTTATCCGTCTATCGGTATACCATATTGGGTATACCTCGAGGCAAAATCCGGAGCTGGAGTCCCAAAGGCAGTTCGTGTTGTTCTGCCAACTCCTGCGACATTGCTGGAATCAGTTGTATTGGCTCTTGCCTTTCCATGTGTGTGTGTGTTTCCATCTCGTCACCCCTATTAAGTTTCCATGGCTGAGCGGGGATTTGAACCCAGGTTGCCAGAGTCTGTCATTCTTTTCATACACGTTGGTTATGGTAGATGTATAGGGTGGACATTTCCACCAGCACAGTTGGGTCTGTGGGTGTGGGTAGAGAAGCGGTTTCTCCCTCATCTTCACTCTCCTCTGCCATGAGATCGGGGCTTATGATGATTCTCCTTTGCATCCTTGTTATGTCCTCTGACAGTCTGTTGACTGACTATCGTACCCCAGTTTTTCCTCTATCCTGCTCCCCAATGTATATTCAAGTCTTTTCAGTGTTGCGTTTTCTTTATCACACTTTTAAGAAGTTTACTACTACTACCACCACCACTAATAATGATGATGATGTGCTATCAGTTCTGGTTGGCAACATTTTTCAGGGTTTTCCAGGTAGAGAATACTCAGAAGTGGTTTCCCATCCCCTTCTTCCAGGGGGTGGGATCCCTGGGACTCCTGTGCAGCTTTTGCCCAAGGCCACCCAGGCTGGCTCTTCTCCCTGGAGGTACCGTGGAGATTCGAACTCCCAACCTATGGTTTTGCTGCCAGAAAACTAATGCACTGAGCTGTCCGGCCAGCTGATGTTTATTCCTGCTTTAGCTCTCCTTTCCTTAATTTTTTGAGACAGGCCTGCCGGCAAAAGCTTGCAGCATCATTCATTCTACATAAAAATAATAATTTTACATGTTTTTTTGTTTTAAATCCACCTCTCTATAGATTGCCATTCGTCATGAGTACTGAGTTAAATGTCCCGGCCAATCCTCCTGCCTCTGCCTGCCGCTCCGAGCCCGCCACCAAGGGCATGGACTACCGGGACTGGGTCCGCCGCAGTTATCTTGAACTCGTGACCTCCAACCATCATTCCGTCCAGGCCCTTTCATGGCGGAAACTGTATCTCAGCCGAGCCAAATTGAAAGCTTCCAGCCGGACGTCGGCGCTGCTCTCCGGATTTGCCATGGTATGGTTTTATAGCGCCACGGGTGCAAAATCTCTTGCAATTCATTCGCTGTTTCTCTCGGGGGCGGGGGGGAGAAGAAGGCCAACCTGTAGCTTGTTTCTAAGATCCAGAGATTTAGGCCAAGGATCAGAATCGGCTTGAAACCTGGACAAAAGCGAAGGCTAAATCAGATTGTTAGAACTAGAGTAGACCTGTTAAATCCATTCATTAAGTCAGCGCTCCTTTGAATCAGATTGGTTCAGTGCGTTTACTCTAAGGGGGGCAGTGGATTCGATTAATGCCCTAAAATTTGTTATCTGTATGGAGAAGCTAATTCATGCATCAGCCGCACTCTCTCTCTCTCTCTCTCTCTCTCTTTCTTTTTGGGGGGGGGACATCTCTCTCTCTCTCTCTCTTTCTCTTTCTCTTTCTCTTTCTCTTTCTCTTTCTCTTTCTTTCTTTTTGGGGGGGGGACAAGACTGCGGGCTGCTCCTTTCCCCAGGACAGCTGCACATGTAAAATGAAGTGAAGCCTGCCTGTTCTGCTTCTCTGCCTGGCCCAGCGGGCAAGTCGGTCCCTTGGTCTGTCTCTGCCTGCAGCTCCAGTATTGTTGTGATAAGTGGTAAGTGGGTGTATTGTTGTGATAAGTCTAAGTATTGTTGTGATAAGGTCTGCTTGAGTGTAGACCTTCCCCTTTCCCCACTTGATAAGGTCTGCTTGAGTGTAGACCTTCCACTTTCCCCACTATCCTCTTTATCACAACAATACACCCACAACAAAAACACACTGCTCATCATAATCACCCAACTCCTGAAAAGGACAAAAGCTGATCCAACAGCTATAAATACTCAACTCCCAAACAAACTGCACCAGAGCACAGAGTGCTACTTCAGTCCTCTGAAGATGCCAGCCATAGAGATGGGCGAAACGTTAGGAAGAACAACCTTCAGAACACGACCAAAGAGCCCGAAAAACCCACAACGAGCAACTATTTCAAAGCACTTTATGAACATTAAAATAATAGGTAAAACAATACAGTGGTGCCTCGCTTAACGAGCGTACCGTACAACGACGAAATCGCATAGCGATCCCTTTTTTGGGATCGCTAATGCGATCGCTCAACGTTGTTTAGATAGGGCGAAACTCGCTTACCGATCTTCGCAAAACGAAGCCCCGACGATCAGCTGTTCGGCAGACAAAATGGCCGCCGGAAGCCCCGAAATGGCCGCGCGCAGAGTTTTCGCGCCCTCCCCTCGCTTAACGAGGGCGTGAAAATGGCTGCCGGCCATAGGAAGCATCGCTGAACGGGGAGTTTTCGGCCCATTTGGAGCGCATTAAACGATGTTTAATGCGTTCCAGTGGTTTTTTTTTGATCCGTTCACAGTGGTTTTTTTTGATCCGTTCAGCGATGTTTCGCTATAGCGAAGGTTAATCCGGAACGGATTAACCTCGCTATGCGAGGCACCACTGTACTCCTTAGGAGGGGCTGGGAACTTCTTGGCTAAATTCCAGGTTTTGGAATGGGATTCCAGCAGTAGAAGGGGCCAAAGGCGCATAGGGCGGGACCAAGGATGGAGTGAGAGGGGCCAGACATAGTGTTTCACAGTACAGACATTGACCGCAAGCATAATAAGCACAGCTCAGTCCCGTGGCACACTTGTCCAATGCAACAGCTTTCTGGTCTACAAAGCACAAATTGGTTCTGTGGATTTATAACTCATAAACCCTAATTTTATTTTTTAATTGGAAATTTTTGACTATTTAAATCAAGAAACTGTTTTTAAAAAAAAAATTAAAAACATATTTAAAAAATAAATCCTGATTTAAATCAGTGCAGTTTTTATTTTAAAAAAATAATTGATCCAATCCAATCCACCCCGATTCATAGACTCTTTTCTTTGACTACTGGTCAGAGATAGCACCTGAAGATGCTGGTGAAATGGATGGCGAATCCCAGATGACACTTGTCCATCTTTGGACTCGGTGGTCAGCGATGAGGCTAGTATTGTTTTGAGGCCTTTTTCTTTAAAATATGTTACTTAGATTGGTCAGACCTTCCCTTTTCCTGAGTCTTGTGGCCCAAGCATAGATCACGATCACTTCGGCATGAAGTTTGTCGACTCTTTCAAGACGACCCGCCTCTGCGTTTCAGGAAGTGGTGAAAAGAAAAACTGGCAAGGGAAGATGCTTTCTATGAGATGCCACTAAGATCACAAAATATCAATCTTTCTTTGGACAAAGAGGGATTGTCTCCCATAATCTGTGTTGGTTAGAAAATCCGCAGTTTAGAGACTTCCTTGCCTTAAGCTGTGGAAATGAGAGGTGGGCTGAGAGTTACTTGGTGGGTGCTGACATAAAATAGGATGGGTTTACTCTTTCTTTTCCCAGGAGACACTGTGTAAGCAGATGGCTGCTAACGTACGCATTGTATGATTAGCCAACTTAGAAAATGCCATGATCACACCCTCTGGGCCTCCGAAGGCTGACCCTGGGTGGTCTTTTGATTTTCCCATCCCACATAGCCATGGAGGCTTGAGTGCAGACCTTCCCCTTTCAGGGAGTCTGTTCAGCGCTGGTTTATCTGCCAGACCCCTTTGTAGCATCCGTACGACACAGACATTTCTGGGGAATGTTCTAGACTGCATGCGCAGCTCAGACAGGATGCTGACTTGGCTTCATGCAGTCGGAGGTTGCAACAGAGGAGGTATGGAATGCTGTGTTGAAAAAATGCGTTCTCTACTCAGGTCTACTTGCTATTTGGGGGTAAAATCCCTATGTGGAGAAAACAGTACAGTAGGGCTTCCATATTTGCGGGACCAGCATCCGTGGTTTCACTTATCCGCTGCCTGACATTGGGGTTCCTAAGTGAATCTGTTAACTGACATCTTCTGTGAATTCCTCTGGTCCTTTTGTCAGTGCCATCTGAGCCAGAAGCCATTGCCGAATCATTGTCGTGAATTCCCTGTTTAGATGTAAGCAGGATGTGAGTGGTTGCTCATCTAGGCTGCAGTGGCAGGTCTCACTTCAGAGTTTTCAGGAGGGTAGACGATGTCTTTCATTTTACAGTGGGTGTGAGGTTGCCCTGTTTTGGGCACATCACGAGAAGGCAGGATTCTCCGGAAAAGTTCATTATGCTGGGAAAGGTAAAATGCAGCAGGAAAAGAAGTCCAAATATGAGACAGACTGACTTCCTAATGGAAGCCACAAGTTCCGCAGGAAAAGAGGAAGTCCAAATACGAGACAGACTGACTTCCTCATGGAAGCCACAAGTTTGCAAGAGCTGAAGGGGGCTGTTGAGGATGGGACATGCTGAAGATTGCTCATTCCTGGGGTCACCCTTCATTCCTTTATTTTATTTCTTTAATTTATATACCACCCCATTAGTGCGGAAAAGTTATTCTGAAAAGTTCGGCAACATGTTTGGACATAGATGACATGAAAAATATGCAGAAGGTTTAAAACTCTTAACAACATAAAAACCAGATGGTGCCATTATCCAGTGATGGCAGGGCAGGAGGTGGACGGTCTCTCCACCAGGGTCAGAATGAAAGTTTCCTCTGAAAAGGAATGTTTTGAATTGTCTCCCCAAAACCACAACAGGGAGGGAAGCAGCTGTAGGTCCTCTGGGAGCTGATATTTCATTGGGTTAGGGTCACCACCAGGAAGGCTCTGTCTTCTGCAGAAGACATTGGAGCCTCCCTTAGGGTGAAGTCTAGCCTGGAAAGATCTGGTGGGTTGAGCAGAGAGCATTAGGGGAAAGACGCCCTGGCATAAGTCAAAGGCGACTTGACTACACATAACAACAGGATGTATTTCTGGGCTCCGTTTTGCCCCATTCAGAAAGTGGTTCTGGGTTTGCATTGAAAGTCAGGACACCAGATGGGGAATGACATTGACCTCTTGCTTGATGTTGCTTTCCAGGTGGCAATGGTCGAAGTCCAGCTCGAGATGGAGTACCAGTATCCACCCTTCCTTCTCATCGCCTTCAGCGCCTGCACCACCATTTTAGTGGCCGTCCACCTCTTCGCCCTCCTGATCAGCACGTGCATCCTGCCCAATGTGGAAGCCGTGAGTAACATCCACAACCTGAACTCCATCAGCGAGTCGCCCCACGAGCGCATGCACCCGTACATCGAGCTGGCATGGGGCTTCTCCACCGTCCTGGGCATCCTGCTGTTCCTCGCCGAGGTGGTTCTTCTCTGTTGGATCAAATTCCTGCCGGTGGACGCCGTCCAGAAGAACGAGGCTAAGGAGCCCGCGACGACCGGCCAGCATACAGGCTGGCAGGCAGCCCTCATCTCCACCATCATCATGGTGCCCGTGGGGATCATTTTTGTCGTCTTCACCATCCATTTCTACCGCTCTCTGGTCCGACACAAAACGGAGCGCCATAACCGGGAGATTGAGGAACTCCACAAACTGAAAGTCCAGCTGGACGGGCACGACCGAGGATTACAAGTGGTGTGATGGACGGGCGTCTCGTTGGACCCCTGCGCACAGCTGAGGATTCTCAAAACAGCACTGAACAGGAAAGAGGCCTCTTGTTCTCAACTAATTCTTATACTCCTGGCTTTGCGTCAAAACTTGGACAGTCGGGTCTCTAGTCCTTTGTTACTGTGGACAACACTGCCATGTTGTTAAAACAGAGCCTTTTTGCTACATCCATGCAGCCGTTTGAAGATAAACTTTATTCTTCCGATTCCCAAGTTTTTGAATAGATTGGACTGGGGTGGAAGGTTTTGCCATTAATTTTAATGGGCATCTACTTTTAGGTGTGGGATTTTGGGATATTTTCTTTTGGTCTACAAGTCCCATAATTCTTCATGTTTCACCTGACAGACTCGCACCTAAAAACCTAAATGTGGCTTGCCGGGAGCAGAGGCCTAGCTAGAAAGGCTTCGTGGCTTAGTATAGGCCTAGCTAGGCCTAGCTTCCTGTTCAGAAAGGAAGCTCCCAGCTAGCACTGGGGCAGGAACAGGAAGTTTGGATGGAGCTAGGCCTAGCTCAGCCTCAAAGCCTTCCTGTTTAAGCCTTTTCTCTCTGGTGAGCCACACCGAGGTATCCATCTTGTCAGAACTCTCAGAATGAAGAATTAAGGAAGTTGCGGTCCAGAGAATAAGAAAATCCCATGCTTGCCTACTTGACAGAACAAATCAATATATTTCTTTTGAGGAGTGGGATAATAGGGTTTGGAAAAGAGGTCTGATTTTACAAGAGCTCTTACTGGAAACTAATTTAAAAGTGTGGTGGCCCAGAAAGTGTTTCGAAATTTCATGTACATGGACATATTCTGTGGAAAGCTGTGAAATGCAGCCACCTGGTGACCTTTTATATGAGTATTTCTGGAACAACGGTGGGGGGATGGGATTGACATTTGAGCCAAAATATCCCTCCCTCTATCTATTTTTAGGTGGTTGCTTGATGTTTTCTAATTTCATTTCCTGTTTGCTTTTTTGTTTCATATGTCCTTGGTAATGTCTGAAAATATTTAAAATACGAAAAGAAAAATCCTAGAAATATATATTTCTAAAGGTGATGTCACCAGAACTGGCCACTAGAGGGAGCGAGAGACCACACTATGTATTACATTGGCTATTAAAATACTGTAGTGTTTGTTGTAATCCACATTTTTCAGCATCCGTGGTGGGCTTGGAGCCGATCCCCCACAAAAACAGGGGTCCTACTGTAGTTCCTGGATGAGAAGTTTCCATATCTTTTTACAATAGGAATTCTTATGTAGCCTTAGGAGGGCTGGAGAAAGCCCTTAAACAAAAAAGAGCAGTTTAAAAAGAGAGAAATAGTTTAAAGGAGGAATACATAGACCTGTGTGTGGCCTCTTTCTGAGATTTGTGACAGGGAGTTTCTGTTTGCTGGCTAGGAATGGACTGAAAGTTAATGGGTTTACTGATGCTATGCAACAGGACTTCAACTGTAGTACTGTATTCTACGTGGCTAAAGTCTGTTTAGTTATGGCACTGTGCTTGAAGTGTGTTATACTTAAAATTCTATACACGTAAAACTCTTAACTGGAAAACATATGTGCTAACAAAATAATGGATCTAGAAAAGGTGCAGTGTCTAGCGGGAGAGGGCTGTAGTGCATTGTGTTATACTGTACAAGATGTACAAACCAACACAAATCTTATGTTCAAAGACCCATCAGCATACAGATGTGTGATGTCATTACATGGGACAGGAAGTGCTTTGACCTGGGTGGGCCATGGTTTATGGTAGTCATGATTGCTTGTTTTTGCCATGAACTGTGTGCTTCGGGTGATCAGACCCTCAGCCATTTCTTTCCTTCACTTCGGGTCACTTTCTGGTTTATTTCTCCTCTGCCTTTCTTTGTCAGGTCCTGTTTCAAGGCAGGCAGCTGGATGTTCGGATGTTACAACTTGGCATGGTATAAATAAGTCAGACTTCCTAAGACAACAATAAACCATGGCTTCTAACTCATTTGCAGCTAGCTTAAAATTAACCATGGTTTGTTTACAGTGTTTGGTTTGGACACCACCCACAGTTCAGCAGACCACAATGTGGTTTGTAGGGATTGGGTTTTCTTGACTGCAAGTATCCTAATCCTACATTCTGGGAGTTGCACCTTGCAGACACCTCAATGTGATACAGCTGGGAAGAAGGTCTAAGTTGGAAAGCTTTCAGGTTTAACTAAGCCAAGCTCTGTCCAAGCTTCCTGCTCCTGCCCCAAGTGCTTGCTGGGAGCTTTCTTTCTCAGCAGGAAGCTTGGAGAGAGCTCGGCCTCAATGCCTTCCTGTTTAGGCTTCTCTCCCAGACGAGCTACACTAAGGGGTTTGTAAGTTGCCTACAGAGTAAGTGGAACTCCCGAAATGGTGAATTGTAGTGTTTGTAATCCAAGATATCCCGTCCCTTGTAGTTTGCTGTACCGGGTGACTATGGCCATTATGTGGGCAGATCTGGAGGTAGTCCAGAGCCCATTTTTCTCAGAGCATTTGCCTCTCCAAAATCCTACTGTTTGGGCTTGAACAGATGTGACACTGATCATTTGTGTAAACATTTCATGGGGTCAAAAGTGCCCCATACATATTACCAGGGCTGTCTCTCAGACTCTTAGCCTGCCCACCGGGTCTTATTTCACATGAATTTCTGTGCCTCTTATGCCGATGTGGATAATGGCATGGCATGTGAATAGTTTATGATCTCTGGGAACTGCCCTTGCAAAATGGGAAAGTAATTTTTGAATGCAGAATAGGCAATTCTAAATGGAAACGCTGCACTTAATTTTGTTGCCAAAATATTCTAAATTAATAATTTGTTTAGTGGCAAGATGTGCCTAGTGGCTATACCTCATGGTCTCCTTTTTTTCATGCTTGGTTGCCTGCACAATACACTAATTGAAGTATAATTAGTAAAGTGTGTCATGTTTGCATTTATCTCTAGTAGCTCCTCTCAATATGCATTATTTGTGAAATTTGCCTCTACTGCCAGTTATTAAATCCTTCTAAATAACTTCTGTGGTGTTTTTAAAAACTGATGGTGTCTCTTAAGCTGTTCACTCCCCTTGGAGTCAGGAGAAAGGTTACAGAGCGTGGAGTGGTGTGACTGAACGGGGCACCTCTGAAATTTGAGAGTCAGTTCCCTCCCCCAGCTCCTTTCATGAGCTGTCTTTGCTCCAAGTCCATTTTTCTGTTACACCAAAATTATGATTTTGCAAATTCTGTGAAAGCATCAGTGATGTTTGGTGTGCGTTGCCTATGTGGTTGTATAAGAACATGCAGCTTTCTGAGGTTATGTTTCCTTCAGGTTAACGGATTTGGTTCAGGACCTGTGGTTCCCAACTTCGGGTCCCCAGACATTCTTGGACTGCAGCTCCCAAAAACCATGGCCAGCACCGCGAGCGGTAAAGGCTTCTGGGAGTTTTCGTCAATAACATCTGGGGACCCCAGTTGTGAGAACTACTGGGCTAGAACTGAGTCAGTCACTTTTGTCTCTTCTGAAATACAGTAAGTGGGAACAATTAATTACCCACAACTGGAGTCAGTCACTTTTGTCTCTTCTGAAATAAGTGGGAACAATTAATTACCCACGACTCTTAATTCTCATGGTTTTCGAAAGGGCTGAAGCCGGGCAGGAAAAACTAGACCTGTCCAGATGCTGATTGATGCAGCTCTGCTTTGCCACTGCGGATGTTGTCTGGAATACAGTAATGGGTATTAAAAGTTGAGTATCTGGAGGGACACTGATTTTCTTACTAGTATATGTGTACCATGAATTTGACACCACTTTTAACTCCATTCTGTTGAATCTTTTGGGTGCAGAGGGATGGAAAATTCTGTGCTGTAGCTTCTTAGGAGGGCACTCGAGCACCCAACAGAATTTGAAATACTTCCCCAAACGATAGATTCTGAGAGTCTTTAGGATTTGAGCCTGGGCAGTTTTAAAGTGATACCCAGCTTGTCTTACTGTAGTGCAGACACACCCTGTATCTGGATCCAGTTTGTTCAGGAATTGAGGCAGTGCAGCTAGTCATTGATTGGATTATAACGGACTTGGTTTTAAGCCACACTCTAAACTGTCTTGGGATAAATATTGTAAAGGGGTATATAAACACTTGAAATAGTTAAGGGTAATAAATCTGAGGCCCAGTAGGAAACACGGTCAACTCCAAAAGGTTTACATGGGGCTATTCACATGTTGTCTTTCACACTGGAATTTCTCTAGACTCCCTTGAAAAAGGGTCAAGACTCAACCATGGTGGGCAAGCCTTGTGGGAAGAGAGCTTTGGCTGGGCAGAACAAGCCAAAGAACGGGCCAATTCTGTTTAAAATCCTTTAACATTTTTGCTCTTTGTGATCCTCTCCTTCCAGGAGGTTGGGAGATCCTGGCAGCCTGGGATCATCCTCTTTAGGATGAAGCTGAGAAACAAACAGGTGATTAGAGGGGGCGTTCGGATGGAACATTGAAGGCACAGAATCCTTGAGAAAAATACTTGTGCTTTGAATACCAAATGTGTGGGCGTGTGAAAGAGTGCAAGGAGTTTGGTGACCTTGAAACCTGAGCAGAAGCGCTTTGCCGTTTAATTGAGGGAAAGCAATGAAACGTTGGGATGGGCAGGGCTGATGTTTGAGGTGACTAAGATGGCGTTGCACTGGAGATAATGAAAACAGTTGATCTTAAGTGGCCATTTTACCTCATTCAGCAGAAATTGCAATCAGTTCCTTTCCTCCCTCAGAAGCTGATGAAATGAGGCGGTTCAATTATCTCGCAGCTGTTAAAGGGAAATAAGGATCTTTAGTAATTAGTTCTAATGAACGAGGGGAAGAAAACCAGAGGGGGTAGTTTATTCCTTTCAGAAAAATGCCTTTGTTCAGGGAAATATATACTCCTTTGAAGTGTGCGCTGGTGGTTCCCTTGCTGGTTATGCTATGCAGGAGGTTCTCTCACATGGCTGCTAGTTACGAGTAGCAATGTTCTCAGAGAAACAACTAGTATATTTGGAAATTCTAATTCTCCCAAACAAATGCATTTCTATTTTGGCGGTATGTGCAGAAAGTACCACCTACAGGGAGTAAGCTCCATAAATTTCGTAAATATGCCAGATATCAGAATCATGTATAGTATGTTGAATTATATGGTATGTATTTGATGTTGTTGCGGGTGTTGAGAGTTGAACCAATAGTAAATAGAGAAGTCACAGTATAAAGAATGCCAATGAAGAACTAGGCGAAAACTCAACACAGAGGGAGCATCTGTTGCCTGATTGTGGTGCTGGGTGAACCCCGGAGTCTGGGAGGTAGTGCCAGCAAAGCACAAAGATCTGGTGGGTTCTACTAAGCTAGTGAGGATTTAGGCTCCCCCCCCCGACCCCCAGACAAGTCTGTGTCTACTGTTCAACAACCAGCCTAATTAATTCAGCATGAGGCTTACCATCAGAAAATTGGCTGCTAAGTGAAGAATTTGCCACAGCAGCTGTTAACATAATGACCCTGCAGAATAATTGTGATCTGCAGTATTAAAGAAACAAATTGTACTGAAGAAATTAATGTCAGCCCAAGCCCTACTCTAAACATGGTTCCATTTGTGTGTCACGATACACCATAGCTAAAATTATGGTCAGTTTCAAAACGTCAACTTCAACCCCGTTCTTTCTTTGCTTCACATGCATTCTTCCCAAACTGGGTTCCAAGGTAGTTTTCAACGTGGTTAAAAAAACACCTTATCACTATGAAGCAGTAAGTAAAAATATTAAAATACAATCAAATTCTTCATAGTACCAAAACAATTAACATTAAGGCACTTTAGAACAATTCAGTTAAAATGCTAACAATAATTTATAGTAAGGATGAAAAAAAAACAACCAATGAGTTCTGAAGATAATTTATTTAATCAAACCATAGTCTCCTGTAAACTACAATCATCCAACTGGGGGAAAAACTGTGCTTAAGGGAAACCAAAAGTCAAGGAACAAGGAACCCGTCTTTTAGTTTTAGGATAGGAGGAGAAGGGTGGGGCAGTACATGAGCCCAGGGCAGTTCATGCACATCATGGTTTATCATGATGTTCTAACAGGGCCACCAGATGCTACCATCTAAACTTCTAACATACAAACAAAAAACCCAAAACTTGGAACTCTTTCTTTTTAAGACCAGAACTCCACAGTCCCACAGGAGCAGTGTGAGCTGAGGGATTCAGCAAAGTATAATCCAAAACAGATTAAGTCATCCAGGCTCTGGTTAAATTGTCGTAACTTGCCCAGTCCAAGTTAACGTAGCATTCTAAGCAGGTCATGGCAACCAAAATCTGAGCTATCAGCGAACAGGAAAAGGAAGTGAGAGGAAAGATAAGACGTCGTACTCTCCCCTCCGGGATCAGTGGTGGCTCCGGACTCTCTTACCTTGCTTACAGATTGCATTAGAGTTTTTTTTGTAATCGTATTATCAATCTAACTGCTGAGATCTCACCATCACATCCTTGCCATGTCAGCAGAAGTAAGGCAACTTCACAACCCTGTGAATGGGTTCTTGTTTAACCTCCTGCGGTTCCTTGGTTTTAATCCCAAAAGGTGGCAAAGATTCATTTTGGTGTATAAACGATTTATTAATTAACAAAGAAGTATTGTCAACAATAATTTCAGTGGGTTCAATGGGACCATCCAACAGGGCTCTCCTTGACCAACAGTCTTTCAACTCCGGTGTAACAAATAAGTTCACCATCGTGGGTGAACTCGTGGGTGAATGGCTCACAATAGTCCCACCAACAGCGTGCCATGCCCATTCCCCTTCAGTAGGTGTCATGGGTTGGCTGGTCTGCACCAGCCAGCCCCTCTTCTTTTCAAAGATCCCTCTTTTGGAGGTACACGTGAACAGTCCATTCTGTAGGGTCAGCTTCTTCCAATCTGAATCGCTTATACCCCCTTCCTCTCTACCCTGGGATTCCTCTCTAGCACTTTCCCTTTTGGCTAATTGGCCAGTACTGCTGTCTCCGCTCTATCTCTTCAAGGAGTAGCTTCGTCAACCCTTTCCTGAGTCCAGGAGTCCTCCATCTCTGGTCATTCCCATCCTATCTGGATATCTTTCTCTCGCTCTATCTTTTTCTCCTCCTCCTCTACCTCTCTTTCCCATACAGTCTCCCCTTTTATCCCTCCTTCCACCTCCATCATCATGTATCCTTCAGCTACTGGAAGGTTTGTCTCAGCTGTTCTTTTCCTGCACTTCTCCTCTTTTGTTCCTGCTCTTTTGTTCCTGTAATCTCAAATGTGGGCCATTGTTGGTAGCAAGGTGTAAACTTATAGTCTCCTGTAGTGGAATGACTCACCGCCCTCTCTGAAGGTCAAGGGTTGTTCCTTCTCACAATCCCTCTTCTCTGAAGACAAAAAAAGCAAAGCCAGACCTACTGCTGTCATCCCTGTCAGTTCATTGTGACTGCTCTGGAGGTTTGCTGAAGCAGCCATGATGACCTACTTCCTTGGACCACGAAGGACTGGTTTAATGGTTTCTGTTCACTCTCTTGAACACACAAGACTACCTTTCCTCTTCACAAAGCTAGTCTGCTTCTCAGGTCAAAGGCACTGAATTCCTGAAGCAGGCTTTGTTTGTCAAGTCTTGATCTTTTGGAAAAATAAACCTCTTATGTTCTATTGAATTCTTAAGAACCTTTAAGGCTATTACAACTGCAGCAGCAAAGAAACCAGAATCCACTCTTAAATTATTAATTGTAGATTAAAAACCCATTTTTGCTATTGCACAAATCTCTGCTGGCATTACTAGGAATCAGGGAAAGCACAGTAGAGGTTTTATGGGCTGCTTTCCTCCTCCTGTTATAAATTGGAGGATAGCTAACGTTTTGTGGCCAAAATGTGGCTCTGGTAAATCAAGGGTGTCTGCTCCTGGGTCCTGTCTTCAACCCCTCATGCCCTGGAAGCCCAGTGGCTTATGTCAGAACCTTGGTTTGCACAGTTTCCTCGGATTCATCCTAGCTGTACCTGGAGACCCCATGTTCTGAACCCATGATGTGCTCTGCCCAAACTCACAGCCTCCACCTTCTCTATAGCCACAGCTAAATTAAAGAACTCCCTACCTACTGAGATCTGCCCCAGCTTCACCTTCTGTTTTGATCCTTGTTGACTTTTTAATATTCAGATACGCTTTTAACCAGGTTTGAGATTTTTGGCACTGCAGTCCTTGCTTTTTTTTTTACCATTTTATCACTGCTGTCTCTCTTTTTTATTATTTTCATTATTATTGATAAATCACTTTGATTTCTTATGTTAGCACTGTTTTAAAGCCCCCCCCCCCTTTTGGTACCATGGATTCAGTGTAAAGATAAAAAGTGTCAGAATAAAATTAAGGAGGCTATTAGGCAGCTCCTGCAGTAGCAGTATAACATTTAGCAATCCTTTTTGCAGCTGGTTGCCCGGTTATGCATGGGGGAGCTTTGGGCGAGTGGAGATCTAGATTATTTTTATGGTATAGGTGGGGGGAAGAGCTGTTGGAAGGGCAAGGCTACACATATAATTCTTTGATACTTTGGAGTTATTTACTTCCTGCCCTTGCTGAGGCTGCAGTGCTTAGAGAGAAATGGGCCCACAAGGGAAGAGTTTCTTAATCCTTTCCCCTTCCAATATTTGTCGCCTTTTCTACTGCATGCACGAATGAACAAACCTGGACATTTCAGTTGACTGTTGTTTCACAGAATATAGGGTTCATTACACCAGGGGCAACTATCATGCAGCCCCTAAAAGCCATCTGTGCAAATACAGGATGCCTCTCTCCCTGCCCCCAAAGGAAATCATCCTGAAAACCTCCAGGGGTGCAATTTTGACCTAACATAACTTTGGGTGTCCCTCTATTTTTGCAAATAGTTGGGACCATTTTCAGATTTTGAGAGGGGGGGAATCAGTGGAAAGGACAGGTGTGGCTACAGCTATTTTGTCTGGTTTGCTTGGAAGTTATGACCCATATACTTCTGGATGGATGCTATGTGGGGAATTGTAAATTACAGCTTCCTGAGCGGTTGGTTTCCTGACTCACAAATGGAGAGAAGCAATTGCCCACCAAGGTTCAACCTTCTTGTTTCCGCAGCAGTTGCGTGGAGAATCCTACCTTCAACAGGGCTGTGGTGCTACCTGTAGACCTGGCCGTGTAGGTGAATGGATTGTCTTTTCAAAGATGGGAGTATTTGTTGGTACCAAAAGCTTTCATACATTGCTCTTTCTGATAAGACAACTAACTATTCATTCATACCTTCAATTTATCAGAAGTCTGTTGTTCACCCCTGCCTGTCAAGTAAGTCATGGGCATAAAAATTATTATTTTGGGGAGGTAGATTAGAACAACAAAGGTATTCATTTTATTTTTATACATAATTACATGATGGACATCATACCAGGTTACAGCCTGTGGCAGGTATGGAGATGCACCCATGCAATAGGACAGATGATTTCTTCATTTCTTTGAGGTGGACTCCTTGCAATCTTGCTGCTGTAGTGACTAGGTAAGTACAGCTGCTTCCTGCTCTCTGGGGATCTAGAGCATCAGATAATTGTCTCCTAGGCAGAACAAAGCAGGAACAAAATATGACTCACACTGTTCACTTTAAAAAGTCATATGTCACATGCTGCTTTAGTATGATTTTATTGTTTTCACATACTTTGCCAAACAGTTTGCACATGTGGGACATGTGGTATTGGGAGACAGCCAACAATGTTTGCATAGAACATGGGCTTGCATGTATATATTGTTCCTGGTTCAGTCTTCTTGAAGGATCTCAGCTTCCAGCAGAAAAGACCTCTGCTGAAAGACAAGAAGCTGCCATCCAGTTATTGGCAAGCTGAGGTCACCATCAAAGGAAAAAGGCTTTTGCCTGCTTCCTTTTGTGAAGATACAGAATCACAGAATAATTGAGTTGGAAGGAGCCTGTAAGGTCACATCAAATCCAGCCCCCTGCTTAAGGCAGGAAACAATGTAGGCAGGATTCATGAGAAGTGGCACTCTTTGTATCAGGACCCAGAATGTGGAACTTCTTAGCCCTGGAAATCATTCCTGGCACCTTCCTTCCTGGGTTCTGATCCTGGTGAAGGTTTCTGCTTCTACCAACTCTAGGACCTGACCAGTTCTTGAGTGCTATTCTGTGGATTACAGCTGTTACTTCTGTCTGGTCTTACTGTTTCAAGCTACTGGTGGTAGGTTTTAAAGAGCTACTATATGTTTCAAGAGTTACATCAGAAATGTAACAAACTTTTAAAAGAGATGTGGCACTGCTAAGACGCTATATAAGACAGCATCTTTCATCTTTAATATAGCAGTTTTTCAGTTCTTAACACTGGACTTCCAGGGCTATTTATTAAGGCAAGGATGAAGAGGTTCTCCAGAGGTTTGACAGCAGTTCTCATCACTGTCTGAGGGCTGATGGTAGGTACAACCTAAGAAAACTGGATGTTCCCCATCTCTCTACTAGAAGTTACAGTCGTGCCTCGCTTTACGATTGCCCCGCATTATGACAAAACCGCATTACGACAATCTTTTTGCGATCGCAACTGCGATCGCAAAACGATGGTCTAAATGGTTTTTTTTCCCTTTGTGATGATTGGTTCCCTGCTTCGGGAACCGATTTTTCGCAAAACGACGATTTTCTGACAGCTGATCGGCAGTTTCAAAATGGCCACCGGGTAAACAAAATGGCTCCCCACTGTTTCTGCGACGGATTCCTCACAAGACAGGCAGCGAAAACGGCTGCCCTATGGAGGATCTTCACTGGACAGTGAGTTTTGACCCCATTGGAACGCATTGAAGGGTTTCAATGCATTTCAATGGTTTTTTTCTTTCGCTTTACAATGTTTTCGCTTAACAGCGATTTTCTTGGACCGGATTATCGTCGTTAAGCAAGGCACCACTGTATTATACCAGATGATCTGCTAATGACGGAAAAGGCCACCACTAATTACCTGCATTGTCCTCTTATGCAGAGTGGTTAACACCCAACAGCTCTGACTTGTGGGATCAGCATGTATTTCCTGCCCCAGAATGCAAGAGCAGCAGGTTATGGGGTCTCTCTGCAGACCACTGAGAACCACTGCTCCAAAAATACAATTAACACAACTCTGCTGAAAGCCTTGCACTTCAGTTTCCAATACCTGGTGAAATAAGTAATCCTTATACCGGTGTTCCCTGGAATGTCAGAGCTGTTTCCAGGAGTTTTTTGCCCAGTTCTTCCTGTTCTCCTCCAGGACTGAACTCTGTAGATAATTCTCTGAAGGTGACACAGATGCGGCGGCTTTTAATATGGTTGCGATAAATGGCATGCTTCCACTTATACCGAGCAGGTCCGTACAGAACCACCAGAGATCTCTGAGGTAAGTGAACTGCTACAGTGACCTTTTGGGATGGAACTGTTCTTGTGGGAAAAGAACCATCCATTTCCTGCTTGGTGGTGTTTCTTTTCAGTCCTTTATGGGGTTGATGATCTGGAGAATGATCAAGGGATTCAGAGCAGTGCATCTGCTTGCTTTGTTGAAGGCAGGCAGGGAATAACTGGAGACTGTCCTCTGAGTCGCAAGACATGGAAAGCACAGTTGCTGAGAGCAAGTTTAAGCTGACCAAGTGTTCTCCCCAAAGCCACCAGTCATCCCAGTGTGGGTCAATGGCAGATCCTCTCTCGGGGCCATAGTCCAAATTGCACTGCTCAACAGGGGAGAAGTCCCTGAGCACAGAGTAGAGTCTCATGCGTGCCACTATCTCTTGGCTGAAGCTAGGCAAACCAGAGAAACCACCAGCTTTTAGCTTGCGCTTCTTGAAGTTCACTTTGGGGCCATAGTCCTATCGAAAGAACAAGGAGAAATGGTATATGAAATAGCAGAAAGTAGTAGCTAGTTGTGTATGTTGCTGATTCATATTTCATCTTTACCGCAAACTCTCTAGGCAGTGAAGTTCTCTGAATGCGGTAATGTTGACCTGGATTTTGAGGTTTTAGAGAATTTAAGCTAATCTCCGACAGAGGATCGGACATGGATGAGCTGTGCTGACAGGGTTGAATAGCTAGTCGTGAGTTTTGTGGCTTGGTAGCAATCTGAATCTGGGTCTCTTCTTGTTTATATTAAACTTGGAACCTGTGACAGAATGAAGAGGAGAACTAGGAAGATCTTGGATGTGTGGCTGATTTGAAGACGGGATGGTGCCACATAAAAATATCTGCTAGAGAAACTGGACTGCTTTTCTGTACGGACCAAGAATAGCCTTAGATCTGAGGCATAGGATTAGAAAAAGGGCAATCTTTGAAGTACTGTATGTGTGGATAAGAATTGCAATCTGGCTATATTCCGAATGTGTTTTTTGTGGACAAGAATTGCAATCTGGCTATATTCTGAATGTGTTTTTAGTCAATTCAGTGTTAAAGAAGCAACCAGCAAAACAAGGTGCCACCTCTATTCCAGCTTGCAGCTGCTTCACTAGATAAAACGAGCAGGAAAGTAGTAGGATGAACAAATGATTCAGGGAAGGGAGATACCTCCTTGAGGTTTCTGGAAGGGAATTTTAAAAACAGGATTAAAGATTTTTTGATCTTTTCAGTTAGCAGCAGCAACAACTGATTCTGAAACCAAGAGAATTTACAATCGTGGAGGAACACCAAATGGCCCACTACAATGTGAATTACTTTTATTAACCCTTTCCAGTATTGAAAGAAAAGCATTGAGGTCTCCAGTAAGTTTCAGTACTGTCTGAGGATTGGAACCCATACCTCCATTCCTCAACTCCTACTCCAATGCTCTAATTGGTGCACCAGGAAGCCTCTGAGTGATCTTTCCACTCAGTGCCCTTCAACTCAAAAACTAGGTGGGCAATGATATCTGAAATGGGTCACCAAGGTCTTCTGCTGTCTTACCTATTTTTTCCTAAGCAAATCTGGGGTATGGCAGACATTAATGTACACACAATTCCGAGTGGCAGTCGGGGAGGGATTTCCAGGACTTAGAGGAGGAAATTCAATAAAAGAACAAAACCTGCTTTCTTCGGCCAGATTGCGAAGGTTTCCAAGCGTCCTGATCCATCAGCTCAACCATCCTATGTTCCTCCTCTGCACTTACAAAGTCTTCCAGCAGAACTACTCCTGGGAACGGGAAAGCCCAGCCTGCAAATTCTGACTGCTGCTCTCCCACAGCAAAGCTCGTGAGTGGGCAATAAACAAAGTTGGCACTTTTCTGAGGAATGAAACAGTGGGGTCGGGTGGGGTGGGGAAAAGAATAGATAAAAACATAATTAGTTGTTTGCCTGGTCTTGGATAGTCATGAAGAGAAAGCAGTAGAGGCATCCTCACTTTTGGCAAACTGATGCAGTGTACACTAACCCAGCACATTTACTATGAAGTTAGGAAGAGTTGCCTTTGCAGAAGCTACTGCAGGCTAAAGTTGTGAATGACGGGTGCCCTGAAAAGGAAGGAAGCTGCTGATTCATACAGAGCAGTACTGTGAACACAGGTATCACTTTCCTCAAAAAAGTTGTTTCTTCTAGAAGTGCCTTATTTTGCTTATTTTTCCTCAGACATTCTCCTATTTTATTTATAAGCACAATTAATTCAGGCTTGGTGTGTGTGTGTGTGCATGCGTGCATGCACAGGGGGAGAGACAGTGCTGCTTGCCCCAGGCCCAAAATGGGTAATTATGGCACTGATGGACCTTCCCTATGTGAACTTATCCCAATCTTCAAAACTTCCTGGGACATTTTTCAACCAATCTGGGTTGCTGCAATTCACGGGTCAGGGTTTGTTCACTTCAGGACCCATTGGAAACAAAACCAAAACGAAACCATGAATAACATCTACCCACTTAGGTTTCTGGCAAGATCCTCTGCAGCATAGCTTTCAGAGAATTATTGTTTCCCGACAAAAGGTCATTTTACCCCGTTTAGCCTCACATTCTGCAGAGAAAGCAAGTTTCTCCTGCTGGGCTCTATATCGCTCTCAAAGCCTACAGCTTTGGGACAGCTGAGGGTGCTACAAACTCTGTTTAAAACAGGAAGAACTGATTGAACTCTTCCTTGTCATCAGGAAGCCCTTGCATGAGGCAGTTTCCTTGGTACCTTTACTCACCATATTTTTGTTCTGCCGTTCCTCAAGGAATTTGGGTTTGGACAATTTATTCACAATTTAGTCCATAATTTATACCCCTTTTTCCTTTGAAAATTGGGACTGAGGGGAGCTTGTGACAAGATTCGAAACTGGTACTATATATATAAAGTTATGACACTAAAACAAAAGTTTTAAAAGTTGTAAGATTAAACCAGAATTTTGTTAAAAGCCATTCAAAAGCATACTGATCCACAAGTACTGCATCCAACAGTTAGGTAAAGATAAAGGTTCCCCTCGACAATTAGCCTAGTTGTGTCCGACTCTAGGAGGTGGTGCTGAACCCATTTCCAAGTTGTAGAGCCAGCATTTTTTTCTGAAGACTATCTTCCGTGGTCCCGTGGCCAGTGTGACTAGACATGGAACACTGTTACTTTCTCATCAAGGTGGTACCTATTTATCTACTCGCATTTTTTACATGCTTTCAAATGGCTAGGTTGGCAGGAGCTGGGATAAGTGATGGGAATTCACTCAGACGTGTGGATTCGAACTGCTGCTCTTTCGACCTTGCAGCCCAGAGGCTTTTAAGTTATGTCACAAGTCTCTTTTCTCACCATACCCAGGAACACATCTGCTGTTCATATCAGACAAGAAACAAAAGAAAAGCAAAACAACTAAATAAAAAGGGAAGGTAAAAACATTGTGGCACCTTGAAGACTAATTGCTCCATTTAAATGTGAGGTTTCATGGATCAAGTCCATTTCCTCAAACATAAGAATGGGACTAGGCAGTCATTTATACATGGCCCCAACAAAGAGACACATGTTGCAAGTTGTGATTTAATATGACATTTCACACTTAGTAATGACTTAAGACCCCAGAATGACGTTCGGTTTTTTTCCTTTGAAGCTTTATTCTGGAAAAAAAGGGTCAATGGTTAGTGGGTAAAAGAATGTGATGGGGATGAAAACGTGCTACAAACTCAGATGCCAGCTCTGCCCTCACATTTACTCTGGCAACACAATGACATGCTGCAACAATGTCACGTACATTGCTTCAAGGGCACTTTTGCTAGGTCCTCTGCCAATGTGATCTATGCCGCTCTTTGCCAACAATGCCATTCTGCGATCTACCTGGGACAAAAAGGACAATCTCTGCGCAAAAGAATTAATGGACATAAATTGGATGTCAGGATTGGCAATACACAGAAACTGGTTTCACATCATTTCAATCTCCCTAGACACTTTTCACTGGCTTCGAAAGATGCCATTCTGGAGAACAAAGATTACAGGATAGAGGGAGACAGCCGTGATAAAAATATATACACAGGCTGAATACCCATCTCAACAGGTTTAATATTACCCAAGTGTTCTTAAGCTATTACCAAATGTAATATACTACAATAATTATGTTGCTGTCTGTTGTTATTTTCCATAGTTCAGGTTCCTTCCCAACTAACTGTCACTGTTACAGAACCAGCTTCAAAGATAAGAGATTTTTAACTCATTACCATATCCTATTTCTGCTGCTGCTATCTATATCATGGGGTTCCTTTATTATCCAACCACTGTCGCTTTGTACAGAACAAAGTTTCAAAGGAAAAGAACTGAGTATCTAATGGGGGTCTGAAGTCATTTCTAGGTGTGAAATGCTACACTGACTCCCACAATTTGCCACTTGTCTCTCTCCATCTTGAGGACCTGTATCACTGATTCACATGTTGTCTCACTCTTACGCCAGAGGATATGGAACTGATTCATGGAAGCTCACATTAAAAGAGAATCTCAGCATATTATCTGAACTGCTGGACAACTCGGTGGCTTAGGCAGAGGTTAGGAATTCGATTCTCCATTGGGACTCTTTGACAGGGGCTGGACTCAGCGGCCCATAGTGTCCTTTCCAGCTCGGCAGTTCTAAAATGATTATTATTAATAATAATTAAGTTGTAAGGGGTCTATAAGGGCATCAAGTCCAACCTCCTGCTCAAGGCAGGAATCCAAACCAGAGCAGATGGTGGTCCCATTTTCTCTTGAATGCCTCCAGCACTGGAGCGCTCTCTGCCTCCTGAGGTCGTTGCTTCCATTGTAGTACTGCTCGCACAGTTGAGAAGTTTTTCCCTGTTTTCTCTTGTGAGTTTTTCGGGCTCTTTGGCCGTGTTCTGAAGGTTGTTCTTCCTAACATTTCACCAGTCTCTGTGGCCGGCATCTTCAGAGGACAGTAGTCAGAACTCTGTCTGTGCTCTGGTGCAGTTTGTTTGGGTAGTTAAGTATTTATAGCTGTGGGATCAGCTTTTGTCCTTTTCAGGAGATGGGTAATTGTGGTGACCAGCGTGGTGTTTTTGTTTTTTGTTTGTTTGTTTTTTGTTTGTTTTTGGTGGGTGTCTTGTGATAAGGGGGAGAGATGATCTGTCCCTGTGATTCATCGGTGTCATTAGCTGGTCTTTTGTGTGCAGTGATCACCGGTCCTTGTGACTGGGCAGAGTTCGTTGACCTTTTGCAAGATGTATTTTTCAGTGCTGGGAGCCAGGTTTTGTTGAGTTTTAAACTTTCTTCTTTTTTTCGTTGAAGCTCTGCTTTAATAATTTCCCCCCTGATCTTCAGCCTAATTTTTTCCTTCTTGTTCCTTGAGCCCATTCGAATGGGTCCTGCCGTCGGGGATGATCCCAAACAGATCCTCCTCTGTAGTTCCTTTCAAGGATTTCGAAGATGGCTCTCCATTCTGTCCCCTCAGCCTGCTTCAACCAGAACAGCTGGTCTTTAAAACAGTCCAATCAATGACTCTTGATTGCTTTTATTTCCCCCCTTTTTTAAAAAAAAATCATTTCTCCCCACCCCTCCCTCAGTCGTCTTTCCCTTCCTTGTCCTCCAGGGCGCTCTGCACGCCCTCAGAGGCACCCACGT